ATGGGCTTCCTAAATTGGTTCTCCAATTTGATTAATCGTACAGGCACTGGTGAGCCCGCCTCCATTAGTAAAGAGGACCCTGCTAATCTGTGGCATGAGGTGGCAACATTAACATGCAAAATAGCACCACCAGTAGATCAAGTACTTTTGAGAAGTGAGGCTCTGGGTAATCACATACTTGATACTTTTCTGCAATTTTGTCAGCGTGAATAATATAAGGAAGCTGGTTGGTTGGTCCTACTTAGACTAGACAAAGTGGTCAAAGAGTAAGAAGAGCTCAGGGCTGCTGAGTCACAGCTTAAGTGCCACATAAAAGACCTCAGTTTTTCCAGTTGTGCTCTGAAAGAAAGCCTTATTTCTTCTTGTAACAGAGCTGATACTGCTGAAAACCAATCCTAGAATCTTATTGTACGGGTGGCTGAATTACAATGCCAATTAAATTACCAACCCAGAATGGTGTCTGAAGTTAAAGTGAGGGCATTGGTTGGGAAAAAATGGGATCTTGAAACCTGGAATGGGGACATATGGGCAGATAGGAAAATCAGGATATGGAGCCTGTAAATTCTGTTGAATCCCTCCCATCTGAAGGGATTACTGTGAAACCATTATCCCCTCCACGTCAATTTGGTGAGATTAGCCCGACTGTTCCTGCTGGGTCATTGCCTGAGGTAGAGGCCATGGAAGACATTGCTGAATGTTCTCAGGAACTTCCCCAACCACCCATTGTTGCTGCTAGACCTATAACTAAAGTTAATCCAAGCGAGCCCCAAAAGGTGGAATACAAAGTGTGACTGAGGAGGTCGTACACTACACCCAAAAAGACCTACTTGATTTTGCTAACATGTATAGTCAGAAACCTGGAGAATATGTATGGGAATGGCTACTGAGGGTGTGGGATAATGGTGCAAGGAATGTAACATTGGGTCAGTCTGAGTTTATTGATTTAGGCTAAGTACAGATTGCAAAACAGTGTTTACTTGCAGAATCTGAGTTACATTATATAGTGCTGAACTGAACACTTTGTGGGTACTTGTGAACTCCAAGCATAGCCCTCCTCCCATGCCACGGATTAGCAGGGCCCTCTTTACTAATGAAGGCGGGCTCACCAGTGCCTGTACGATTAATCAAATTGGAGAACCAATTTAGGAAGCCCATGCTTATGATTTTGTCTTTCTAGAACCACTCCCAGTACCAAATGTGTTAGACTGGGTTCTCTAGAGAAGCAAAACCAGTAAACCTTACAGAGGGAGAGAGAGAGAGAGAAAAAGAGAAATTTATCTTAGGAAAATGGCTCACACACTTACAGAACCTGCCAAGTCCCAAGTTCCTGGATCAAACATCAAACTGGAGGCTTTTCCCAACTCGTGCTCCTGCAGTGGCTAACAAGCAAGCTCAGGGTTGGCAGGCAGTATACTGGCTGTTGACTCCAACAAATGATGAATCCAAGATCTCCAGGATGAATGATGCATTGTTCGCTCACAGACAGTTATAAGCAGCACAACAGAATCCTGATCCACAGAAGAGTGTCTCTTTTCCTAGGATGTCCATAAATATACTGGAGGTAGGCCACACTCCTAGGGAAACGCCCTTTCAACAGATTGGCTGCTCAAAATATATACATCTGATTCCATCATTGGAACAACCCACATCACAACTGCTTAAACTGCACAGAATTGTGGTCCAGCCAAGTTGACACACAGCTCCAACTATCACACACTGAAAGTATAAAATACCACAAAGATGTTTATTTGTGTTTTGTTAACTATGCAAAGACATTCTACTGCATGGATTGTAACAAATTATGGATAACAAGGCAAACAGTAATTCTCAAATGTTTGATTTTACTTATGTGGAACCTGTACATAGACCAAGAACAGTCATTCAAATAGAAGGGGATAGTCCTTGATTTAAAATCAGGAATGGTGTCAGGGTTGTATCCCTTCATCATACTTATTCAATATGTATGTTGAGCTAATAATCTGAGAAGCTAGACTATTACGAAGAAAATGCATCAGGATTGGAGGAAGACTCCAACAACCTGAAAATACGTAGATGACACAACTATACCTGCTGAAAGTGAAGATTACTGGAAGCACTTACTGATGAAGATCAAAGACTACAGCCTTCAGTATGGAATACATCTCAGCATAAAGAAAATCAAACATATTGCACTGGGGAAATGTGCTGCAAAAGACCTTTTGTTGTTGTTTAAAGAAGTCACTTTGAGGACTAGGTATGCCTGACCCAAGCTATGGTGATTTCAATTGTTTATAAACAGGCAAAAGCTGGACAATTATTAAAGACAGAACAATTGATGTAATTGAATTATGGTGTTAGTGAAGAATATTGATTATAATATGGCCTCTCAAAGGAATGAACAAATCAGTCTTAAAGTACAGCCAGAAGTTTTTTAGAAGCAAGCTTGGTGAGACTTAGTCTGTCTTACTTTGGTCATGTTATCAGGAGGGAGCAGTCTCTAGAGAAAGAGATTATACTTGGTAAAGCAGAGGGTCAGTGAAAAAAGACGAAGACCCTCAACAGGATGGATTGCTATAGTGGCTCTAACAATGAACTCAAACATAGCAACCCCTGTGAGGATGGTGCAGAACCAGGGAGCATTTCATTCTGTTGTACACAGGGCTGCTATGAGTTGGATCTGACTCAATGTCCCCTAACTAAAACATGGCATAGATTCATGTGGCTAACACCAGCAGCTGGTATCATACTGCTGAGGTACGCACATCAGGTAGAGCAACAGTTGCCAGTGCAGTGCAGCCCAGTAACTGCAGCATCAGTTGCTGGTCTGGCACACTGTCCAGGAACCAAAGAATTAAGAAATGTAGGACTCTACCTCAAAATACAGATTCTGGGCCTGTTCTGGACAGAAGCTTAACTGGTAGTTAAGTCATGGTGTAGGTACTTGTGAACTCCAAGCATAGCCCTCCTCCCATGCTAACCCTGCTTCTTACAGCACCACTTGTGTGGAGCATTTCTGTGAGGTGGTGAGAATTTGTGTTAAAACTTTCTGTGCAGTTTTCTCATTAGTAAACCAGGGATCATACCAGTTGTGGATGATAAATGAGAAAAGCAGTGGACAAAATGTTCAGTTCAGCACTAGATAATGTAACTGAGATTCTGCAAGTAAGCACTATTTTGCAAAAAAAGGAGCTAAAAGAAATGCCCAAAAGAAGAATGGTGGGACATTGAATGATTTTTCACTTGTTCCTATAATTTCCCATTTTCTACTATGCGAATGTACTGCATTATAATGTGGAAAAGTATAAAAACTTTAAAAATACATTTGATAAAAATAAAACACACTTTAGCATACCAATGGGTTCATCAGATTTTATAATAAAGACAACTTGGATATAAAAGGACCAAAATAACACTCTGATACTCATCCAAATTCACATGCTACAACCAAAAAGGTAACTTGGCTTATAGCACAGTCGCTGCATGTGAGGGCTCACAAAGGGTCTTAAATGAGAAGAAACAGTGAAAGATACCTTCATCTTCTACATTAGTACAATCAATCCACCACACATCATCTCACGTTTTCTAAGAATTCCAAAAGGTTTGTAGATGATTACATATTCCTTATATGTATTATTTTTCAGAAGTATGGCTTTTCACCAAGTAAGACAAAAAAAAAACCACTATGTTGCACATAGGGTTGCTGTCAGCCAGAGCAGACTCAATGTCACCGAACAACATGGCATCTCACATATTTAGTAGAATTAGTGAATGCTTTCCATAGGCATGAATCCTCCTATACTGAAAAGTACAGGGAGAAAAGCAAAAACTTTCCCCTATCATTCTTTACACTACAGGTTTCTCTCTCATGTGTTTTCTTTCAGATTTTTAGAAAGATTTCCAAGCCTTCCAACATTACTCATGCACCTTGTTTCTCTCTAGTGTACTTTCTCACAGGTTACCAGAGGGGTGAGTGAAAACCAGAGTTGCCCTCATTCCTTATGTATATAGGTCTTTCTTCACTGTGAGTTCTTACAGGTTTACTAAGGAAGTAGGAACAACTAAAGCCTTTCCTACATTCCTTATATTTATGAGGCTTATCTATGAGCCTTATGTTTAGTGAGGCATAACAAATAACTAGACTTTACACATTCTTTACATACATACATTTCTCTCCACTATGAACACAAAGGCTTTTCCACACTCCTTACATTCATAAGCCTTCTCTCCACTGTTCCCTCTTCTGATATGGTTAATGAGATATAAGGACTAAGGCTTTCCAACATTCCTTATATTCCTAAGGCCTCTCTACAATGTGAACTCTCCTATGGTGAGAGATGAGGACCGTTTAAAGGCTTTCCCAAATTCCTATCATTAGGCTTACCTCCACTGTTACTTCTAACCTGTTTAAAGAGAGATGAGGAACAAATAAAGGCTTTCCCACATTCCTAACATTCATAAGCCTTTTCTCCACTCTGAGTTCTATGTCCACTGAGGAATGAGTAATCACTAATGGCTTTCCCACACTCTTGATATCCATAAGCCTGTCTCCTCTGTTAGTTTTGTCTAATAATGGTTGAATAATCACTACTGTCTTTCCCCCACTGCTTTCGTTCATAAGACCTCTCTCCATTGTGAATTTTTATGTCTACTGAGAGGTGAATAATCACCAAAAGCTTTTCTATACTCCTGACACTCATAAGGCCTCTCTCCACTGTGAGTTCTTATATGTCTACAGAGAGATGAATAATCACTAAAGGCCTTCCCACATTCTTTACATTCATAAGGCCTCTCTCCAGTGTGAATTCTTGTATGTGTAGTGAGGTGTGAGGACTGACTAAAGGTTTTCCCACATTCTTTACATTCATAAGGCCTCTCTCCACTGTGAGCTCTTATGTGGGTAGTGAGGTGTGAGGACTGACTAAAGGCCTTCCCACATTCCTTACATTCATAAGGCCTGTCTCCACTATGCGTTCTTATATGACTAGTTAGGTGTGAGGACTGACTAAAGGTTTTCCCACATTCTTTACATTCATAAGGCCTGTCTCCACTGTGGGCTCTTATGTGGGTAGTGAGTTGTGAAAACTGATTAAAGGCTTTCCCACATTCCTTACAGTCATAAGGCTTCTCTCTACTGTGAGTTCTTTCATGTCTAGTGAGTTGTGAAAACTGACTGAAGGTTTTCCCACATTCCTTACACTCATAAGGCTTCTCTCCACTGTGAGCTCTTATATGTCTAGTGAGATTTGAAACCTGAATAAAGGCTTTCCCACACTCTTTACATTCATAAGGCCTCTCTCCACTATGAATTCTTGTATGTCTAGTGAGGTATGAGAGATAACTAAAGGCTTTCCCACACTCCTTACACTCATAACGCCTCTCTCCACTGAGAGTTCTTATATGTTTAGTAAAGGGTGAGGAACAACTACAGGGTTTCCCATAATGCTTACATTTACAAAGTTTTTCACTCACACACGGTTTTAGGTAAGAGGGACAACTGCAGTTTTCTCCAAATTCATTACAAGGATAAGGCTTGTATCCAGTGTGAGAGCCAGTATGATAGTTAAATGATGAATGGTCCATGAAGGTTTCTCCACACTCAAGGCACTCAGAAGGATCTAGTCCAGGAGGAGTTCTGAAGCTAGCAAGATTTCCAATCCAGTTGAAAGATTTTCCACACTGATTTTCTTCTCTACTTTCTTTTATTCTCCCTTCTGTTTGTTCATGTAGATTCTCCACTGTATATATGCTGTTTAAAACAGACAGCATGTTGTCAGAATTAAATTTGTTGCCATTTCACAATTAGCATACAGAGTGAATGGATGTTTTCTGCCATGTGTTGTCTCATATTGTTGCAAAGGTTGAATCACATCACAGTATTTCCATTACTGTCACAGTGATTGTAAGTAATAGAGTTTTCTAGTAATTATGTACAAGCGAAATATGTTTCAAATACTCAACTGATTCACATTTATGGAAGTTCCGTACTGTAAAAATTAAATGAATATACCATTTTACAGCAAGTTTTCTACACACACACACACTCACAAATATGATACCCTTAAAGCTCTCCTGAGGCACTGCTCAGTGTCATGTAATACTCACCTCACAATCTCTTTCTGGTTATTGTACTGACTTTCAATGCCATGGAATTCACACATTTCTCCTAACATGGAGAACCAAGAGTCATTCTTCAAGGCTGTCTGTCCATTATTATCCTGTTGAAAAACTGACACAACAGTTTCAAGTGGAGTTCCACATTATGAAACAAAACAGTAAGAAAATTTTATGAGGAACAAGGCATGTCTAAAGAAAGACTCTGAGGCATTTCCAGGACTTTGGCAATGGCAAAAGGGTTAAGCAATTTACAAGGGTTAAGATTTGGATGTTCTGTGAACACCATCTTAACACCTTATGGCAACCCACTTCCAGTCATCCTCATCACCACTGCTGCCGCTGCTGCCAACAGCCAAAGGAACTGGTGGTGGCAGCTACAAGAGCAGAGCGAGAGGAAGCAAGCGGGGAAAGAGTGAAGTACACCCTGCCCCACCCACTGTTCTACTTGCCTAAGCAGCAGGCACGGCACTACTGCTGCCACAGGCCGCTGCTACCTGCCCAGCAGACAAAGCCTGAGAGCCCATACCCAAAGCCAAGTCCTCTGCCTCACCTGCCTGAATCCCACCTGTGATCCAGTGCTGCAAGAATCTGGGTTTGAGTTATTTAAACCATGAAGGGGAAATAGTAAACAAAAGGAGAGAAGCTTTCCCTTTTTTAAAAAATAAAAATAAACCATTTATGAGACCACAGACATATACACACTTGGATGCTATCTGAATGGAAGTGAAGAAGCACATACCTGTACTAAGAAACCATTCCATGACAACAGATTGAGAGTGATGGTAACATATTGTTATTGTTATGTGCTGTTGAGCTGGACCCGACTCACAGCAACCCCTCCTTGGGTTTCTGAGGCAGTATCACTATGGAAGTAGATTGTCCACCTTCCTTCCAAGGAGTGGCTAGTGATTTGAACTGCCAGCCTTCTGGTTAGCAATCAAGTGCCTTAGGCACTATGCTACCAGAGCTCCTATGGTGACATAAGTAGGGTGTAAACAGGAAAGGAAAATAAAAAGTTACTGCAAACAATGCACTACAGAAAGGTAATATTAAGAGAAAGCGAGGAGGTGTCTTTCCACAAACACAGAAGGCATGAGAAGTTTGATAAAAATCAAAGAATGGCAGCTCAGTGTGTAAGTTCTGCCTCCTAAAACCAGAAAAGATTACTTTTAATTGATTTCTTCAAACATAACTGGTGTTCCAGAAGGGCTGCTCTTTCAAAGGATTCTTACCTGCCCTGTGCTCTCTGACACTATAGCTCTGGAGAAGTCCTATGTTCACTCTCCTAAGATCTTTCCCTTGCTTGTCAGGGAGCATAAAATGAGTGTGGTTCATAGGGTGCTCACAGGGAACGACAGATCATGAGGGAAGACAGGTAAGCACATTGCCCTGGCACTGTACCAATACTATGGTCTCCACGATCTCTATAGATGGACAGGTGTCAGTTTATTTACAGTAAAACTATCACATCAAATTTGTTATAAACATGGTAAAATGCCAACAGGGTACCAAACCATAAATTTCTCCTTTCCCCAAAGTGACCCCTAAAACAATGTTCACACTTACAACACTTACAGAGTCTCAGGCTTTTAACCACAAGAGAAAAAAAAGAATAATTTTAATACACAAATTTTGACTTTCATGTGGAAGCCAATGGAGTCTAAGCCCCTGGAGGGCAGTGAAAATTCCTGTCAGGTTTGTCAATATTTTCCAGTTCTTCAACCCAAATTCTGTAAGAACATTGATGAGTACAATACTTTTAATCACTAGAGAAATAAATAAGAAAAATGAAGTCAATCTTACCAGTGTCCAGGTTCCTGAAGGTTTCCATCATCACATCTCTGTAGAGATCCCGCTGAGAAAAATCCAGCAAAGCCCACTCTTCCTGGGTAAAGTGCACGGCCACATCCTCAAACGCCACTGAGTTCTAAAACATCCCACATATTCTGGATCAGCAAAGGACCATCTTTCCAAAAGTGTTCAAAGGATGGGGAGGATGACACTCCTGGCCAACTGAGTCTCCACAGTGAAGTCACACAAGGTTCTGTGTTCTATTCCAGACTTCGCCAATCAGCCTGTCTCTTTGCTATTTACATTTGCCTTCTGACTGCTGGCATCCTATCTCATAGATTTAGCAATATTTCTAATATATTGAATTTATCTCTCCAGTTTGACTATGACCAACTCTGGTCTTATTCCTTTCGATGGTCCCAAACAGCAAGAACACACAGCAGAATGGAAAGAAATCCTCTACAAATGAAAGACCTACCCACAATCAGATCAACTCTGTGGAAAAAAATATTTCACCTCCTTCTATAAGAGCCACCAGAATACACAACAGAACATGAAGCACAGGTGGAAGCAGGATGAGATAATAAAAACCAGGAAAGACTGGTGGACTGGCAGCTTTTCCCATTGATTGAACAGACAAAGCAAACATCAGAACCAGATCAGGTAAGGCAGAGATTTTGCAATTATGAGACTGGGAATTTAAAACAACTATGATTCATGTATTAAAGGCCTCCAAGGCAAAAGGAAACCCTATGTAAAAACAGATGAGCAGAGAGATGGAAACTCTATGAAAAATTAACAGGAAATTGTAAAAATCAAAAACACTGTAGCAGAAATGAAGACTATTCTTTTTAATAGGATCAACAATAGATCATGGCCAAGGGAAAATAAATGGACTTAAAAATAGGTCAAAAGAAACAAGCAAAACTGAAATACAAAGAAAAATGCGCGGGGGGGGGGGGGACAATATTCAAGAATGTGAGCCAAAAGTTGTAACATACGCACAATGAGAATAAGAAGAAAGAGACTAAAAGAAGTATTTCAATAATGGCAGAGAACTTTACGAAATTAATGGCAGACCCCAATCTACAGAGCCAGAAGTTCGGAACACATCAAGAAGGACAAATACAAAATTTCTCACCTACACAGATCATATTTAAACTGCAGAAAATGAAACACAGAAAGATAATAAAAAAGAAGCCAGAGGACAAGATGCACCTTACCTATAGAGGAGCAAGGTTAAGTATGGTCAATTTGTCTTCAGAAAGCCATGCAAGTAAGAAGAGAATGGAACATGCAATGAATTATTTACTATGGCTCTTCTAGCCATGGTCTTTGTGGCTCCCCCATGATTGGGTGACACTGTAAAAATTAAGTGCTTGTGACCCATCAAGGGTATTAGAAAGCTTGCTACTAATGCAAATAAAGTGTATAGAAAGTGTGATGGTTAAGGTTCTGTGTCAACTTGCAGGGCAATTATTTACATACAGTGTTTGGCAGTTAAGTAATTTGGCAGTTATATAATGATGTAATTATCTTCCTTTTTGTGATGGAGTTTGTTGGCCCCTGCACCCATGGAAGTGAAGAGACTCCCAGACTGACACCTGATCCTTGGATTTGGGACTTGGCATCACACACAATTATGTGAGTCATTTACTTGGCAGTCATAAGTTCTGTAAGATGTTACAGCACGGTACGGAACCCTAAGACAATAATTTCTATAGTCTGAAATTGACCAAATATGCAAAGATGCATTGCTAATAACTGGTGGTTGGAATGCAAAAGTTTGAAACAAAGTAAAGCATCAGTAGTTGGAAAACATGGCAATGGTGATAGAAACGATACTGCAAAAAAATTTTGCAAGACCAATGACTTATTCATTGCAAATGCCTTTTTTCAACAACCTAAATGGCAACTATACATGTGGACCTCACCAGATGGAATATGTAGGAATCAAATTGATTACATCTGAGGAAAGAGACGATGGAGAAGCCCAATATCATTAGTTAGAACGAGGCCAGGGCCAATCATGGAAAAGACCATCAACTGTTCATATGCAAGTTGAAGGTGAAGAAAATTAAAACAAATCCACAAGAGCCGAAATACGACCTTGAGTATATTCCACTTGAATTCAGACACCATCTGAAGAATAGATCGGACACATTTAACACCAATGACTAAAGAACAAATGAGTTGTGGGATGATACCAAGGGCCATCATATGTGAAGGAAGCAGAAGGTCATTAAAAAGATCAAAAAGAAAGACAAGACCAAAACAGATGTCAGAAGAGACTCTGAAACTTGCTCTTGAATAAAGA